TGGAAGAGAATTGCTCTGATCTAGGCACAGAACACAGCAGTGACCGAAATCGGCAAGGTTGGGTCATAATAGGGCAGTAATACGTCAGAACTAAGCATGGATTTCAGATGCGCAAATGCCTTCTCGCATGCAGGAGACCAGTGCCAAGGAAAGTCCTTCTGCAGCAACCGATTGAGCGGGCTCGAACCTCGTATAGCGATGGCAAGAAGACACTGTAGTAGCTGTTGAGACCAAGGAAGGATCGCAGTTGTGATACATCTATTAGAGATGGTATCTGTTGGATGGCTCTATCGTTCTCAGGATCAGGATTACGGCCACTGGCATCGAAAACTGAACCAAGATATTTGATCGACGAAAGAAATAATTTGCTTTTCTCTGCTTTAAGGCGAAATCCATACTCCTGAGCACGGTGAAGGACCGCAACCAAGCAGTCTTCTGCGGTGTTACTAACAATGAGTAGGTCGTCCAGTTAGGGGGCCGCACCAGGAATGCCAGAGATCATGGTGTCGATCATCTGTTGGAAAACAGCCGGAGTGGTTTTTACAACGAACGGGAGCATGGGGTCCTGAAAAAGTCCACGAGGAGTGTTGATCGTCAAAATGGTGTGTGACTCAGGGATGATTTCTAACTGCAAGTGGACGCCGGCCAGGTCGATTTGGGATAAACATGTGCCATCGCTGAGGTTATGAATAGGTCTGCTGGGATCGGTAGTGGGTAGCAATTTGGTTCTAACGCAGTGTGGAGACCGGTGGAGGAATCGGCGCAAACGCGAAGGGATCTATTTGTTTTATTGGCCACGACAATCGGCGCTGCCCAGGCGGAATAGGAAACAGGCACCAGGACGTCCATGTCTTCCAAGGGTTGGAGTTTCGCATCAACCAAGGGTAGGGCGGCGTATGGGAAAGACTTTTTGGGACGAAATACTGCTTGAGCCCCGGATACTAACTATAACACGGCGCCCGTACGTGCACAGCGGTCAAGTCTATCCTGGAATACTGAGAAGAACTGTTTGATGATGTCGTTGGTTTGGTCGCTTGGTGCTACCGGAGATTGTACCGCGTTACAGGTGTCCCGAAGAGGTATATCGCCCAAGTCGACGGTTTCCAGCCAGTCGGGACTAAGTAGGTTGAGCTTCGTCGTCGTGGTATAGCAGATCTTGTAGAATGCGGCGTCTCGAAAGGTGAGGGAGCAATGCAGCCACCTAGTTAGCTGTACCGGACTGCCGCAGGCGCTGGTGGCTGATTGGGTGGTCGATTCGAATGGATGTTTCCCGAGGGCTTGTCAGAGATCCTAGGAGATGGTCGTGATGTCGTCGTAGCGTCCGGCTGTAACCGGACGGACTGACTGGTAACTAACGTCGACGAGTGTTCTGCGAGCTGCAGCTTTGACTTGGAAGGTTTTCAGTGGGCTCAGTGAGCTGCCAACCGGACCAGATTTGGGTTTGCATCTGGGTCTGGATCTCTTCTTTGGATCGCGAGTGCAGACCAGCCCAGTTTTGGCCCCTTTGGGAGGTGTAGAATGAAAGGAAGCGTCCCGATGCCCCACCCTGCCACAACGTTAGCCTCCGTGCTGGCGGAAACTGCAACATCAGTGGAAATGACAAACACCACAAAATCGGCACGCGTAGGGTGGGGACTTCATTCGGTCGAGTTGGGTGGGGCGCAAGAACGATTGTGCCTTAGATGCTGCGGCAGTCTAAACCATCCCAGGCGCATCGCCGTTCTGGTTCGTGGCAAACTCATGCTTCAGGTTCGGCAGCGTTTGACCCTCTTCGGCCAAGTTCTGGAGTATGGCAGTCTTATCCTGTTGTAGCTTTGATAGGGGGCGTATCCAGACATCGGCATCGTGTGCAGACTGGAGATGAGAGATGAAGATTAAGCATTTGAATTGATCCTCTGTGAGGGAACCAAGTAGAAAACGCTTGAATATATGGTTGACCATGGCTGCGTACTTGATGAAGTTGTCGGTATCACGCTTGGTCAACTGCAGGCATTGAAAATGGGCTGCACGACAACTTTCGGACCGTCTTGGTGAAAGTAACATCACACGGGTTTTTGTCAAGATGAAATTGGTTTATTGTCGCTACTCGACCGTACACAGTTTGCGTAGAAGTATTCGGACCATCCACCCATCATTTTCGCAGACCAGGTCCTCATACGAAGGTTACTGTAGCCTTGGCGTCGTACATGGTCCACTCACTGAGAATTGTCGATCGAGCATGTCTGAAGGGAAGAACTGGAAACTGTCTCGGTTAGCATGGGCATCAAATTGTTTTGTTGCTGTAGCATAGGTTTCAAATTGGCATACACGTCCATCATTCTTCGAAAGCTCTACCGTGGCCACTCTGATAGATTTTGCTCTTTCCTTATACGCGATGGTTTGGCCCGTGTTTGGAGTCCAAAGCACAGTTGCGTATTTTTGCGGGATCACTTGACGTTCACGCAACAACCATTTAACCTATGAGTTGTCAGTGGACAATGTCGTGGTCTACGATGTGTTCTTATATTGGTATATCTGATCCTCAAAGATCCTAACTACCCATGCCGTCATGTATTGAAACTTAGCCACAACACCTCACTGAGAGGCCACTACTTAAAGTTGGCCACACAGTATAACCCGTAAGAATGCCTCCGGAACATTTTTTCCTCCATTCGTGAAATGTTCTTCCCTATTCTGTCGTATCTTCGCCTACGTTAGCTGCGGTCAAAATTTCACTTGATCATGTACTACACTACCTATATTACATGATTCGACCCCCTTTATTGGGTCAAGCGACAACGTAACACCACTGTGTGCACATGTGAACACTAGTGTGAGTTCACCCGATACACGTTCTTGATACGCATACACTTTTTGATCTCAATCTTTATCTACGGATAACTGTTGGGCGTTTGCTATTTTATCCATGATAAACCCGCTGTTTCATTGCTGGTTCTCATACGATGCTATATGTGCTAACATTCTCTGCGAAAACTCGTCAATTAACGACTTATGTTCAGTATGCGGTTGGCTTTACCTGATTATACCACCATCATCTCACTGATTCTCCCCTTAATTTATAAGTACGTTTGTTGGATTTTGAAATTCCTATCCTAATAATCTCACAATACAGTAATAAAATGTTGCCCTACATTGTTTCCTCGCTCCATTTCCTACGGTGCCATGTTGGTGCCCAAAAGTCCTGCCTTATGTTGCTGTAGAGCGCTGACGTGCAATTAGTGGTCAGAGTTCGGAGCTCTTTATCGGACCCCATACAAGTCGAGTGTGGTGTGCCGCAAGGCTCAGTTCTAGGTCCACGTTTGTTTTTGGTGTTTATTAATGACTTTGCACAAGGAATCGCTTCAAACTTCCTTATGTTTGCCGACGATATCATGATCTGGCGCAGAATCCAGGCGATCACCGACCAACATGTGCTTCAGTGTGATTTAGATACGGTGTATCAATGGTCGACCCAAAACATATTGCATTTCAACTTCAGTAAATGCAAGGTGCTTTCCATCCGACATCAAAGCAGATACTCATACCGACTTGGAACGGATGTACTGCAATAATCGACTCTCGAAAGTGACTTGGGTGTCTTGGTTCAAGATGACTTGGGTTGCTCCAGGCAATCCGAAAAGGCCTCAAAGACCGGAAACCAACACGTGGGGCTGTCGAGGCGGGCATTTGGACAAATAAGTAGCTCCATATTTCGACAAATGCTCAGTGCGTATGTTCGCCCCCATGTCGAATATGCAATTCAAGCCTGGCATCCATGGCTGAAACACGACCTTAATGCACTGGAGCAGCCACAACGCCGGGCATCTAAGAACGTAATTGGAATATGCAATCGTCCATACCAGGAGAGGCTACGACGACTGGGATTGTTCAGTGGAAGCTATCGCAGGCTACGAGGCGACCTGATAATGACATACTTGATTCTGCGAAACACACATCATGTGTGCCGCCCTTTACTGCAACTCAGCAGCAATACAAACCTGAGGGGCCACACATTAAAACTCGCAGAACAATGCAGTCGTCTGGAGTGCCGCAGAAATTTCTTTTCCATCCGTGTCTGTCACCCGTGGAATGCTCTCCCAGAATCGGTCGTCTCTGCACCGACACTAACAGTATTTAAAAGACGGTTGGACGATGCACTCATCCACTTACACTTTGTTACTTAACACTACGTCTCCATCCTACACCTGGAGTTTACCATGGAATTATTTGTTGTCAACTGTGGGGGCTGTGAATCTTAGAGGATCGCAGGACTGCAGCGAAGCAAACGATAAGTCCTTATTATTATATTTAAAGTATTAACTATTTTACTATCCTTATCATCATTATTGTTATGTTGATATCCCCTGCAACTATCCAACGGGACTTGTAAAGCAACGCTTCTTCACCCGTACAAATCCATTGTTCATTGTTCATGTTCATCATGCTCTAGGAGTACAACGCGGAAACTGACGAGAAAGGCTTAATAACACGTGGCTGCCCAATCAAGCAAAAAGGTGTGAGGCATCACGATCCACAGTTTAAAAGATGAGATGACTGTTTTCAAGCAGTTAACGATTAACACCTGATAGTCAAAATGACGGAAAAGGAGTCCAATGAATCTACAACCAGCTGAGCACATTAAACTTGGCAAGCGATAAACCATATTACCAGGAGTGGTAGGTGAAAAATAACGATTATATTGCACCATTGAAGTGGTCATTGCAGGGCTTGCCACTTGTTAACATGACACCCACCTTCACAAACCTTGGCCATTCTATCGGCCGGTAGATCGGGCTGTGTTTGTTCCAATACCATCCGTTAAGCCAGCCGGTTTGATTCTAACTACCGGCCTGCGTAAACGTTGCCCTTTGCTCTAATCTACACGCTACGAACCTAACAGTAACGAATGAATAGCCATAATCCATTCAGTACTATAGGTTAAAATTCATCGAATGAAAGCACGCTCCATTGCGTTTTGCAGGGTCCGAAATAATTTTACATTTTGTTTATTCACTGGTCAACTAGACTTTACCTGTACCGGGTACGGTATTAGCAACATTTAAAGGTTTCGAACGTTTACCAGAACTGGATGACCTACCAAGGTAACTGAAGGTCAACCGTTTCCTCAGGTTCATACCGTTCTCATCGTATACACAATCGACTGTATGCTCTCCAGGGCTAGTGGATTTATCGACCGTTAGGACGTTACGGAATATCTTCACCCGCCCCGATGTGACCGGTTCCCAGTGGGGCCGATTGCGCAAATCACTGAGATCCACTCCCGGTGATGTGACCAACTCGCATCGATACACTCCTGGTCGGTAAGGATCGTGACTCCTTGTTGTGGGCCCGGAGATCGCTAGGTCGAATTCGGACGAACCTGAAGGGGGGGGGAATGAGTTATATGGTATTCTTGGCTAGTACAGCTTGGGACAGATTTTCTGGCGGTTTAGTCATGCCTAAATAACTGTTTGGAAAAAAAGCTGGTGATAAATTTCACGAAATTACTACAAAAAGTCTAACGCATTTACTGGCAGCATGCTTTCTTCAAATCTCCTCTCAGAAAAACCAACAATAAACATCAATTCATTCGATAGAAGAACTCACTATCAAGTAGCTCAAGCTAGCTCGATGCTATCAGGCACCGAAAAGCGATCATTATTTCTCAGAAGAGGTTCAGGATAAAATAGTGTGATGAAGCTCCCAATAATTTTGATGAAATGTCTAACGGCAAAATAGGGTACCCGTACTACGTACTTGTGTCTAATGAATTCACTTTTGAGATACCAGTTTAGTATAGTCCTCATACGTAGATTATCAGCAATTGGCTTGAAGAATGGAAAGAAAAGACGGCAATTTCGTACAGAATGCCCGTTTTCTTGTCAAACCCGAGAAGAAATGTAAGCCGAACTACTAGGGCGAACAATTGTTCTCGATTTCTTCCTAATCAGGCCTAGTACAGAATTTACTGTCGCCCATCAACCCCACGTGCCGCCAATCACCTGATCATTTGATGTTTATCAGGAGAACTCTTTACGTTTAATTTTATCTAATCAATGACGTGCCACTATACAGACCCACATACCTACTTGTGCACATGTACATTTCTGTACTAGGCCTGATGAGGAAGAAATCGAAAACAATTGTTCGCCCTAAGCGTTCTGCTTAAGTTTCTTCTCGGGTTTGACAAAATATCGGCAACTTTCAAAACGTGTATCCCTGTGGTATCAAGGGGTATTGAAGTTTTTATGGTAATGTAGTTCGCCATAGATTGAGTATGGGGAAAAAAGATCCTGGCGATTCGCTATACCACTTAAACAAATAACCCTATTACGGCTTACGTAGGATTTGCACTGCAACGGTTCGTTGAAGGACTCCATTGAACAGATCACACTGTATTCGATAGATGTTCGACACTTGCATCGATTCAGCTACGTCGAGTTGGAGTACGTTGCCTTCGAACACGAACGGTGACTGGTCGGAGACCGTGTCCCAAAACACGGGGGCCACCACCAGGCAACGCATGCTGGACGTGTATGTGGGCAGCATTTCGACTCGACTATCGTTCACATGAGCAAAATGAAAGACGATACTTCGAGGGCCGAACAGGTGGAATGCCTGCACAGGGGTGGGAATCAGTATGACCGATTCGGCTAAAACAAGAAAATGTATGAACAACGGATACGATCATTTGAATCACACTTGGAAAAGCAAGGAAAGGATCAAAGTTGTTCTAGTTGCATGCGGGTTTTACAAAGTTTGAATCTTCAGCGCAGGCGTTCACGCTCATTCAAACTCATTGAACGACCAACGAAAATTGGAACATAAACGCTTACAATGACTTCCCCTATGGTCTGAAGGTCTTATGTGAGCTGGATCCTCCAACTCGCGTACAAATGTCAAGTGGGCTTCGAGGACACACACGCATTCTGTGACCCCTTGGTATGCATGGGACCAATGCCACTAATCAAACACTGGTGTAGAATTGAAGGAACCTGGCAGATCAGATTTAATCATATGCCTTAACAACTCAGGGCCCTAGCGTTGCACTGCGTTCCCATTATGTCCAGGAAACATCAGAAGTTACTTGGAGTAACTAAATTATCGTGGTCTGGTAGGTTGAACTTGGCCAGTATTCCCAATGAGCACAGCTTTGTCTCATGCCTACGCCAAAATTAAGGCGTAGCATGTAAGTACATTTTGGCTGCAGTGACTCGGCAAGTGAGTGCGAACTAGGCCACATATCGAGCGCGACATTCATAACGAAAATTCGCGCCACACACATACATTACTTGGATCCGCATCGATGAATAGACGTTACATGACCAAGCCCGTTAGCGAGCCTACCTAAGTGGTGACTCTGGGTTCTCAGACACAGGTTGGACATGAGGGACAAAAATAGGCTACATGGCATAATTACTGGACACAAGGTGTGTATGCATCTACGTAGTAGCGTTTGGCTGTGTCGCAGGGGGAAAGCAAACCCAAATTTTACGGTCAACAGCAAATTTCGATACATGCAACTGAAAATTTAGGCTAGCTGAGCAGTCAAATAATCGTCGTTAAGCCACACACTCATTTATAGAGCAAAGTATGCATCATTAGTCACGACAAATTTTCCCGATTGACTGCATCCATGGTGCAATTGAATTACTCCCTACGGCTCTGATTTGCATATGCATGTCAAATGAATATCATGTTTAACGTGTCTGAATCGCATCCACTATCATCTCGACGCACCAAGCGCGCAGTGACCTTGGATTTGAGCTAGTCCAAAGCAGCCAATGACGCTAGATGTAATAACCCTTGCATGAATGTATAACTTGGTTGTGTGTGATGGGGGCACGTGGGCGTTGTAGCATCCATTCAGCACTGTTGCCTAATCTAATGCTAGTTCCACACAGCCTAGGGCCACAAGGTTGTCCAAACACGAGAGACGATTGACTGGAGGGTTCAGTGTGCTAAATTGCAGTACCATGTATGTAAACGATGCCTTGCGAAAGGCATAAGTTGGAGGTGGGAGCTGCGAACAAGATAGTGTGACACACCAGTAACGATGTTATTGCTAGTTTGACACTGGCGAAGCCCAAGGTTTTGGACGACCCATCAAGGCTCCGGCATACGACGGTACTGCATCCGGATAGCAAGGCTGTCACAGCTGCATGGCTGCGTATGACTGGGGCGCTGTGACGGGCATGCGATTAAAGCGACAAAAGGGGTATACGCAACCGAAATACTGGTTGGAAGGTGGTCGCCTTCGGTACTAGAGAGTCCTCTTGAGCGGCGGTCTGCGGAGAGAGCTAGTGCCGAAATACAACTCTGACCACTTTGTTACAAGGTGAGTAGGCCCTTGTTTGTTAGAGCAGACGTCACTTACCCTCATGGTGGATGCAGTACACCGACTTGATGGTCCCTTAATCAAATAAGATACTGCGACCGGCTGTCGGACGTTTGCATCGACTAATCTGTACGCACATACGTGTACGGACTGGTGCGGACCGGATGCAATGGCAACTGACACGCAAGTCGGTACGCATCAGCTGAATTCGTATCCACTACTTAGTTTAGTAGTATCTTCATACATGGGAGGCACTCTAACGTTGATCGGCATTTTTGTCTGTCCATTTCACCGCCTCTTCTCCAGCAAAGGTACTTGGCTGACACAGCATATAGGCGCGCAACACCTCAGTTTCTTCCCACGGTAGTTGTACCTGCAAAGCCCACAATTCCGCGAGGTGGATGACACTCAATTTCCTACATAACGGCCTGTGAACACGTAGTCCACAATGGCGATTGTCAGTACAAGTGTATATAAAGAGGCAAGTAGATAACGCTTGACGTGGTCCGTAGGATAGCCGTAATGAGAAGAGAACAATTAACTAATGGACGTACCAATAAAATGAGGTGTGACATGGTGATTTAGCAGAGATATTTACATGGTAACTGGTATACGTCCAGTTAGTTGCAACTAATCGCTCGCCATAATTTGTATTTTGGGCACGAGGCTGAAAATTGGAGAACATAATTTTATACATGAAATCCCTTTTATAATTCCAAATAAGCACATCAGAAAACCAATGTTGTGAGATGACACTGTTAGGACGACCTACCAGCGTTCGGGCAGGTTCAGTGTGTCCGGCTATCAAGACAGTCACAGTTGTGTGACTGCGAATGATCGGGGTGTGGGGTGAAAAATTTTTATGGCGTACTTATGAACAAAGCAATGGAAGTGTTCTGGCCAACTTGCCACTGAACTCTGGGTTGACAGTGGCCACCATGGCTAATAGAGAGGTTTTGAGCTGCGTTCCACCGAGAGCACTAACGCCGAATACGACTGCAGCAATTTTGTTGCATGATGGGTAGGCACTGCTTTGTTACAGCAGGTGTCACTTACTGTTAGGCTCTTACTGAGCTGATGTAAGTAGAATGTGAGAAGGCGACAGAATGTCTCCCTGAAAAGCACTCTAGTTGCTGGTTAGTGTTTAGGAGCATATACCGCTGACTCGTGTAATCTGAGTACGTTCAGTAAAATGATTACTTTGCAAACGCATTATAGAGGGATGCATGCTTTGAATGTGTAGATCTTTTGACAGCAGTTCCCGGTTTAAACAGCAGAATGCGTTGTTGTATTCAAGTAAACACTTACTGGTTGATCAGCTTTTTGTCAAGTAATGACGGTATAGAACATACGAAGTAGGCCACCGCATCTATGGTAAATCTCGAACTACAATAATTGTTTTTATGGGGTTTATTCGAGCGGCTTTGGGACATCTTCATGTCAAGAATGATTTTCTCTTAAAGCTTCTGGGCAACAGAATATTAAGCGACTGGTTGGCATTTGTTGGAGCCTTTTCTTGGTACCGGTGCGATGCTGCCCTTCCCAAGACTAGACTAAACATACACTTGATGGAGGTGTGTAGCTAGTTCCTTGGTTCGAACAGTGAGAGGGCTCACTGAGATGCCGTCTGTTGCTTGAAACTTACTCTCCTAAAGTCGACCCAGCCTCTTCCGATGGGCGAGGAGAACCTCTCTGCGCGGACCTTGAGAGATTTACAAGGACAGTAGATGTCAAAACTGCAATTTAGATAGCTAGTCAAGTTGTCTTAATACTTGGACATGTCCGCGTTAAAGGATACACAAAGGTATGTGGATGAAACCATTCCATGAAGTCGATCGATATTTTGTGAAAAGTCCAGCCTCCACATGGGCGTACTTACATCAGTTCAATAATACCCCCCTCCCACAGAAGCAACCATAATAAAATCTGCTGACAACATCGTCCTGGCTATCAACCATCGAAACGCCGATTGTTCTATCAGATACCAAAATCATCTGAGCGACCTGGATATTTGGCCCAAAGCTCGTCACCTGTCTCATAATGCATCGGGGTATCATAATATGCTTTCTTCGCTACACATAATAGCCCGTTAGGAGCAGCTCCCTACACAATGCCCCGAGCAGCTTAGTGACAGTGATGGATTTCACTCTGCTACATCAGTGAAGTACCTAGGTAGGACACTTGTAGTTCTTCCAGATGACTGACTGACCAACCGTGAGTACGCGGAGGACATAACCCCCTATCGGTCTGACCCAAGGGCTATGTAAGCAAACAGAATCGACTAGAGTGTAACACTGCACGCTTCGGCATGTTCTTTGCACCTACGAAGTGCAAAGTGTTGTGACAGTATTGGTCCGATCAGCCATCTGTGCTGTCTGTGCTTATTAAGGGGTAAGTTCAGAGGCCATCCGTTGGGTATCAAACAAAGAAATAATAAAGGTGATTTACTAAAAGTGTCAAACGGTCCGTTCGACACCGTTGCATTTGAATGAATCACTCGCCAGAGATAGAAGGGCGTGTGGCATGAAATCGGCTTGCATAACATCGAAACATTTAGGGAGGTTTTGCGATCCGCACTCCAATGGCTGACTGCTGAGGGGTCGAAACTTGCCAAAGCCAACGGCTACGTAGACAGAGTAGATGTTTTGTAGTTATCGCGTGTGTGGCGAGCTGTCTCAACCAGCAAGTCTGATGGGCGTTGGCGGACTGACCTAGGGCAGAGCGCCAACATCAAAGCACTCCTATTGACGTAGCAGACAGAGATTTAGTGTGATGACCTCCAGCAATGAACCACCTACAATATTACCATCTCTAATATGCCACATAAAATAACACTTTGACGTGTAAGGTAGATAACATCCTGCCGCCATCTCAATAACCGCAATTATTCTCTCTCTCTTTTGCTTGGCCTGAAAAGGCTTTTATGTCGAACGTAAAAACTTGGTCTCTAACTGCACTACGGACAAGTTTGTTGAGTTGGTCTCTTTTCAGTGAAGCTGTACCTTCCTTTGTTTCCCAAAGGTTGGGCTATTCTGGCAAAAGTCTTTGCGAGAGATGAGGGTGGTGAGAAGGTCAGTCAAAGCTGTCGGCGATCTACCATGAGCCATTTGGTCAGGGGTAGTTACTTTGTACAACCTAGGGTCGAACAAACCAAACGGTTATAAGATGTACCGTAACCCCATTAACG